AGTCCTCAAAGGCTGGGGAGCATATGATTGTGAGGGTGGCATACTATGCCACCCTAATGCAATTAAGCCTGTTTCATGCAGGGCGGTACCTTATGCTTTAATGGCGTTAATGGGTTAAACCCCATAATGTCATGTGCCTTCCATAATACACACTTTGTCTTATGTATCTTTTATTTTATATAATTTTTTTTCTAAAGATAATTTGTGTTTTTGTCTTAAAGAGACAATCTAAAAACTAAAACTTCATCTTTATGTACAGTCTAGTAGATTTGTCCTTTCAAATTGTTTATTTTATTTCAAGGATATGCAAATAAAAAAAGGTGGTATTTTTTGCTGCATGTTTGAAGTCATTTATAAAATTAGTTTGCAGAAAAGGTTTACCTTTTGCTGACATTTACCACAATATAATTAAGTTGGACAATGTTGCTTTTATACAATTTCCGAAATGGATGTGGCAAAACCTCAGCATCATGTCTTTGATTTAAGCTGAATAACCTTGATCTGTTAAATGAAAACTAAGCAAAATGTTACAGATTGTAGTTAGAGTTTTGTTTTTCACAGCAAAGTAGATTTTTTTTCAACATTCCAAGAGCATGTCAAGACTTGTGCATGGCAAGAAAATTAAATTTTCCTGAAGAAAAAAAGTAAAATCTGAATAAATGAATTTCAGTCACATGTCAGTTTGGCTCAGAAGAACTTCTGTTCCAAAAAAACTGATTTGTAAAACAAATCAGATAAGCCAAAATGGAGTTTAAATAAGGTCAATCAGTACACTGCATTATTGGAGGGGGAGTGACTAGGGACTTGGGGACCCTTAGTCACTTTATTATTTGTGGTCCAAACCCGCTGCTCAAGGGTGGGGACCAGAGGGGACATTAAGTCCCCCCCTTTAAATAATTAGTGTCCCCATCCGTCGCTCATGGCTGGGTACCTGAGGGCTGGGGACATTAAGTCCCCCCCTTTAAATAATTAGTGTCCCCATCCGTCGCTCATGGCTGGGTACCTGAGGGCTGGGGACATTAGGTCCCCCCCATTAGTTACTTATTTAAGGCCCCCTCCCGCCGGTCAATTAGGCCCCCCCATTATTTATTTTATTAAGGTCCCCACCGATGATCATGGGTGGGTGGCCTAGGTCCCACCAGGTCCCCATTTAAATTAAAAGCCCCCAACCATGGGTCACAGGTGGGGGCACAGGGAGGGGCAAAATGTTCCTCCATTTTAGTTATTTGGTTTACCTACGATGGGGGAACGGAGGGACCTGTGCCAGGTTCTCCCTTATTGTACTGGCGACTGGGCAGCAATAGCTGCTCAGTCACTAGTAGGTTTAAATGACAGTGAGCAGCCACGAGTAGGGGCATGCTGGAGGATTTAACCTCCCTTTTATTAATATGGGGGTCATAGTGATCCCCATAGGTTTTAATGCTGGGGGGTAGAAATTGATATTTATTACAAGGAGGGATCTGGTAGCGCTGCCGGCTTCCTCCTCTCTTTCTTTTTTTCGCGCATGCGCAGTGTTATTTTCTCCATGCAGTGGTGGTTAATTAGCATGGAGTCTATTAAATGAAAGAAACAAAATGAAAAGGTAATGCATTTGCATTTGCCCTTTAGTTTCATTTATATTTTGTATGTAGGGCTTTCGTTTATTTTGTTTATACCATTTTTGGACAAAATGGTATTCGTACGAAAACGAATGCACATGTCTATTGAGAATCACAAAGCCAAACAAATACTCAGTTGGTTTGTGATACGGCTACATTTCACCTCTGAGTTATCAAATTCAACCTATCATCTAACAGGCACAAATTCAGACAAATTGCATAAGAATATAATCAGAGGCATGAAAAGAAATAAAACATATTTAATAAGTAAAGCTAAGTAAAAAACAACTGTTATAATGAGTGATTCTTTTAACATACAAAATTGTTTCACACTATGTAATAAGTCTTGTAGGCTATTTAGTTACTTATTTGGCAGCCTTCACAACATTAACAAAAGTTAATTGTTTCATTTTGGTGAAGGATTCTATGCGAATAGTACCTGAATTGCATTAATTAGGATAGAGTGACTAGTAATTCAACTAGGCGAATTAGGATTTTGAACCGGTTAAATTACACTTTCATGTCACAAATGAGCACTAACTACACAGGATGCTCGTCTGGATCTGGTTATGTCATACCATTTTGATCTATTGTCAAACATTCAAGTAAGAGAGCACTTGGGAAATAGTGACTACAATATTGATGTCTTTGGAAGTAAAGACATAAAATAAAATTCTCATGGAGTATGCTAAAACATATCATTTTAAAACTTTAATTTCAATAAGATAAGGGCAACTTTACAATTCATTGACTGGCATGAACACTTTTGCAAAATGGAACAAAACAAACTGAGGATACATTGAATATATTTAAGCAAAAACTTGCATGGTACACTTCTCAGAATATATCAATAAATCAGATAAATCAGAGGCATCCTATATAAAATATAATGAAGCCAAAATACCTGTAAAAAGGCAATTAGATGAGCTAAACTAGAAAATGAAAACGTAATAAGCAAAGAGAGCAAGACCAACCTCAAAAGTTTTTTTTTTTAAGTACACAAATTATAATAAAATACAAGAATAGAAAAGTGTATATTCACTGAAATCAGGGATGGATGTGTTAGTAAATGAAGATCTACAAAAGACAGGATTTTTAAATACATTTTTCTTCAGTAAATATCCAGTAGGAACCTATTGCAAATGATATGCAAACCATTGCTGTAAAAAAAAAAAAAACTCAGAGAAAACCGTGCTGCAGTACTTAAAGAAAGTTCATATAATTAAAGTCCCAGGGCCAGATGGTATTCACCCATGAGTACTAAGTTTGGAAATTAACAAATCTCTGTTTTTATTTTTTCTGGATTTTCTTCTCTCAGAAACTGTACTTAAGGATTGGAGAAAGGCATATGTGGTGTTCAAAAAGGTTTCATTATCTCTGCATAGAAACTATAGACCTGTGCGCTTAACTTCTGTGGCTGGGAAAATATTTGAAGGATTATTAAGGGATAACATTTTTGAAATGTTTGGGAACAACAAGGCCATTGCCCAAAATCACCATGATTTTATGAACGATAGACCATGTCAAACTAACTTTATTCTATTCTACAAAAAAGTATGTAGAAGCATAGATCATGGTATTTGTAGTGAATGGGATCCATAGCTCCACACAATAGGTTAGTTTCCCATTTAAAAGAAGTTGGTCTAGATGGAAATTATTCTTTTTGGATTGAACATTGGCTTAAAGAAAGAATACATAGAGTTGTAAATTTTAAAACTTGGCAAAAGTGGTAAGTGGTGTGCTCAAGGTACATAAAGTTGTACATTTTCAAGCTTAGCAAAAGTGGTAATTGGCGTGCTCAGGGTCCTCTTCTGGAACCACTTCTATTTTATTCAATTTGTTTATAAATTATCTTGAAATAGGTAGTAAAATTTGTGTGTCAGTGTTAGCAGATGTTACCTAGCAGGATATTAGTTTGCTGCAAAAATATTTAGATAAATAAGGACGATCTACAGCTCTACAACTATAACATAACCTTCCAAAATCAGAGCATCTTCAACCAGTTTTTTGACATATCTAAACAGACTTGTATGTGCCATCAAACTGTACATGAAATATTTGCTTATTAACAAGTTGATGCTGTATACAATTTATGTATGCTTTTTTCTATTGTGCTATGCCTGTGTGTTTTAATTGATTTAGATTTTTAACAGTATCAGATATTAGTACTTTTACAAAATATATAATTACAGATACTTTTAGAAAGAGTCACATGGTACACCTTGGTTTAGTTATTGCACAACTGTTTTTTTTTTTTTTTACTCAACATGATGTAAAGGCAGTGTACCATTACATCATGTTCAGCAAAAAAAAAGTTGTGCATAAGTATGAGCACAGCATATATCTGTCTGTATATATACCTATTGATCTCCTCTATCTATCTATCTATGTATCTGTCTAATATTTTTCCTTATTATAACAATTTTATCTGAAAGTTTTGGGTTAGGCATATTTATTTTCTGAAGTTGATTTATGGATATCCTTGCAAGTGTCCTCTACATTCAAGGTTATTGATGAAAAAAAGACAAGGGCAATATCTGAGTTGCAAAAACACAGGTACATAAACAAAAATTAATTAAATCAAGGAATATGCCAAGTAAGGTTATTTGTAAAATAAAAAGTTGTATGTTTAGTTACATGGGCACTACTTCTTGGGAAATTGTAAAAAATAGTATACAATCAAGCACAACAGCAGCAATGCCTAATTTGTACATATTTTTGAATGGTAGTTTTGGTTTTCTGGTGAGTTTTCAGAATGTTTATTAAAAAAAAAGACAACTTTGATTTTTGCAAAATGTATTCACAACTGTAAGTTGTTAGAAATGTGTTACAGGAGTTCACAGGTGTAAAATAATAATTTTGGGTCCATACAATTATTAATAATATTGGTGTAAATGTTGTTTATATACCATTACCTTAATCTGCAGCACTTCACAGTATTATAAAGGGGATAATTTTACAACAAATGAGGCAATTTTTTGCAACAATTACAGCTTATTGTATTTGTTCTGGTGATTGGAATCATTCTCTGTATTTTCAGAGAAAATCCTAGGTAAAAGCCTAGCACTGCCATTCAGTATCTCCACCTTCTGCATGAAGACACTGAACTTTCCTCATATTGATGCGTTAATTACATGCATCTCTATGGGGAGATGCTGATTGGCCAGGGCTGTGTTTGGCTTGTGCCGGGTCTGCCCCCAATCTACCTACTTGACAGTCTCAGCCAATCTTATGGGGAAGCATTGTAATTGGTTCAAACAATCACTTCTGGTTATGTCAGCCAAGAAAGAAGATCAGGGACAAAGCCAGCATATGCAGACTTGAACAAAAGTAAAATGTTACTATATTTAAAGGAGAACAGAGGGGGCAGGGGGCTAGATGGTAGTTTTAACACTGTAGGGTCAGGAATACATGTTTGTGTTCCTGACCCTATAGTGTTACTTTAAAGGATCACTATAGGGTCAGGAACACAAACATGTATTCCTGACCCTATAGTGTTAAAACCACCATCTACCCCCCTGGGCCCCTTATGCCTCCATAAATATAGCAAAATCTTACTGTATTCAAGCCTGAAGCTGTAACTCTGCATGCTGTTTGCCTCAGAAAAACAAGCAGTCTGCTGACATCATCAGAAGTGGTAGCCTGATCCAATCACATTGCTTCTCCATAGGATTGGCTGAGACTGACAAAGAGGCAGGTCAGGGGCAGAGCCAGCATGATTCAAACACAGCCCTGGCCAATCAGCATCTCCTCATAGAGATTAATTGAATCAATGAATCTCTCTGAGGAAAGTTCAGTGTCTGCATGCAGAGGGAGGAGACACAGAATGTTTGGATGCATATTAGGCAGCCATGACCCAGGAAGGATCTCTAACAGCCATCTAAGGAGTGGCCAGTGAAGTGATCACTAGGCTGTAATGTAAACACTGCATTTTCTGAAAAGACAGTGTTTACAGCAAAAAGCCTGAAGGTAATGATTATATTCACCAGAACAAATTCAATAAGCTGTAGTTGTTCTAGTGACTATAGTGTCCCTTTAATGTTTAAAAAATTATCTTCATACTTATACATTAGGGTCCTGTTTTGCTTATTGACTTAATACGGTACACTACAATACTATGAACATGATGTGATGGGCACTAAAGCAAAGTTGTATAAAAGCAAGTCTGGACAGTGGGGTAGTGTCATTTGAATGTAACAACATTATGTGTAGAGTTCAAATCACAGAATTTGCAAAGCATGCTTATAGAGAGTAACCAAAATCATTAAAAAAAAACATTATCTTCTTTTTGTTGAAGAGAAGTAAGCTATTTGTTTTTTTTTTGTTTTTTTTGCAAAGGGGAATGATCTGTGCATTATCATTGCAGATGTCTCTATAGAAAAAAAAATAACATTAGTGTGAGTAGAAATAATTAAACAAAATAAATCAACTCAACTAAATAAATATTTAGGAACAATTAACCCCTTAAGGACGGAGCCAAATGTACACGTTGTGAACAAAACAAAATGTAAACAAAACCTGGCATTTGCGCTACATGTCTGTCCAACCGTAATTCACCTCTTTCATAGTAAATGCACCCACCCTTATTATATATCATTTTATTCAGGGGAAACAGGGCTTTCATTTAATATCAAATATTTAGCTATCAAACATAATTTAATATGAAAAAAATTGGAGAAAATAAGATTTTTTTTTTTTTTAGTTCTACATGACATTTTAACGGTCAATGTCATTATATTGTTTGCTTTTACTGCAATAAAATACACATATTTGTATTCAGCAAAGTCTCACGTGTAAGACAGTACCCCCTATGTACAGGTTTTATGGCATTTTGGGAAGTTACAGGGTCAAATATAGCACGTTACATTTAAAAATTGAAATTCGCCAGATTGGTTACGTTGCCTTTGAGACTGTATAGTAGCCCAGGAATGAAATTTACACCCATAATGGCATACCATTTGCAATAGTAGACAACCCAAGGTATTGCAAATGGGGTATGTCCAGTCTTTTTTAGTAGCCATTTGGTCACAAACACTGGCCAAAGTTAGCATTAGTATTTGTTTGTGTGTGAAAAATGCAAAAAACACCAATTTTGGCCAGTGTTTGTGACTAAGTGGCTACTAAAAAAGACTGGATATACCCCGTTTGCAATACCTTGGGTTGTCTACTATTGCCAATGGTATGCCATCATAGGGGTAATTTTCAATCTTGGGCTACCATAGGGTCTCAAAGGCAACCTAACCAATCTGGCGAATTTTAATGTGAAAAAAATGAAACGCAAGCCTTATATTTGACGCTGTAACTTTTGAAAACACCATAAAACCTGTACATGAGGGGTAGTGTTGTACTCGGGAGACTTCGCTGAACACAAATATTTGTGTTTCAAAACAGTAAAAAATATTGCAGCAATAATATCGTCCGTGTAAGTGCTGTTTGTGCGTGAAAAATGCAAAAAAACTTCACTTTTACTGGCGATATCATCGTTGTAATACATTTTACTGTTTTGAAACACTAATATTTGTGTTCAGCGCAGTCTCCCGAGTAGAACAGTACCCCCCATGTACAGGTTTTATAGTGTGTTGGAAAGTTATAGGGTTAAAAATAGTGCTAGCAAATTAAATTCCTTTTACTTTTGGCATCGGTTGTCAGGCAGGTCCCGCTAATTGTAATTAATTAAGATACCTAATTATGTAAAAATATTACAGAAATATATATGTAGAATTAATATATGTATATATATATATATATATATATACGTATGTGTATATATATGTATATATCTATATAATTTTTTTTATATCTTTATTTACATATAAGTATATATATATATAGTGATATATACGTATATATTTATGTATATAGATATATATATTATTTCGTTCTACGTGTATTTTGATATATATATATATATATATATATTAATTTCACAATACAGTTAGAATGAAATAACACATCTATATATTTTTTAATTATTTATTTTTAATAATTTTTTTAATTTAATTTTTTAACGTATTTACATATTTTTTAATATTATATATAAATATATATATATAACAATTATATATATATCTCTATCTATATATATATATATATATATATATATATTTAATCAGTATCAGTCTACATGTAATTTGATATTAATATATATATATATATATATATATATATATATATATAATAGTAAAATACACCTAGACAGTGTACGTGTGTGTATGTATATGTGTATATATATACTTAGATCATATATATATATATAATATATATATATGATCTAAGTATATATTATTATTTTTTTTACACTTTTTAATTTATTTAATTTTATTTTCAGCCAGCAGGGGGACCACTTGTCATTATAGGTAGCCCCCCTGCTGGCAATGCAGGAGGCAGCTACCCTCGGCCATGTGATTGTGGGGTCCTAGCAAGGACCCCACTCTCACATGGCCGGGGGGCTTCCAGGACGTCGGACGTGCCACGGGGGGGCTCCCTGGGAGTCCCCCCAACCACGATCACTGGCGTGGGATCGCCGGCGACCGGGTAAGTAGGAAAAGACCGGAAGGCGTACTATTACACCCGGCGGCATTTAGAGCCGCTTAGAATAGGGCGTAATAGTACGCCCGCCGGTCTTAAGGGGTTAAAGGCACACTCTAAGTTTAAAAATAAATGTTTTTACTTTTTTTTTCAAATTTATATTTTATTATTTTCAGAATGCGGTTTGGGATACAGAAGGAAAAAGGGGTAGGTTAGCGGGGGTACATATTTTCTGTATTTTTTCGTAATGGTAACATTTGGTAAAACAGGAGGTAGTACAGGGGATAGTTGATACATATATTCACATTGTCACAGTAGTTTTGAGTACATACGTAAGCTGGTTTCAGGTTGCTCCATGTGCATTGTCGCCTTCGTTTCTACGTGATTTGACGCTTAGGAGATTGTTAGGCGAGGGGGTCCCTCCTTAACCAGAGTTGGGATCTTAGGTGGCCGATTTAGCCTATTTGGTTGTTTAGCATAATCTGTATAGCTTCTGGTGGTTTCTCAAAGTCAACTGGTCCCTAGTTTACAGGTTTGGGAGATGCTTGAATCATACCTCGTCATTGTTGGTTGAGTGGATATATATGTGGGTAGCCCCTATGGTGGGGTGAGAACTCGGTAGAGGATGGAGGGGAGGGGGAACCTGGTTTAGGTGGTGGGTTGGGTGGGGGGGGTGAGTGTGTGAGATTACTGTATGTGTTTTGTCCCCATCTGAGACAGGTTCTTTGGTACTCTCATGGGAGAGTTGTTATATTTGTTTCCTTTTTTTTTTTATTTTTTTTAACTATATTACAGGTTTTGCCCAATCGTCCCTCCTGTTTCATCCACCTCCCCCTCCCAGTCACCCCAGCTCACATCAAATTCAAGTTTCTATTGTGAGGATACTATCGCCATTCTTTCATAGATTTTGAACTGAGTGAGTTTGGTTTGGAGTTGGGCTAAGGATGGGCAGGTTTGTGATTTCCAATGCAGTGCTAGCAAGTTCCTTGCTGCAAGTATAGTAAGAGCTGCAATTTGTTTTTGTGATAGGGTTAGGTTATCTGGGAGTAACAGCAGGAGGCATGAGGTTTTCGTTAATTGGAATTTGGGGATGTGCAATTGTTCAAATGTCGCGGTTACGGCGGTCCAAAGGGGTTGAAGCTGCTGCACGACCACCACAGATGCTCCAAGGTATCTGTAGTCTTATTGCAACTCCAGCAAGTATGGGGTGTATTGGGGTATATACGGTGAAGCCTCTGTGGGGTCATGTACCAGCGGTAGAGGAATTTTTTTTATCGGCTTCAATGTGTGTGTAGCACTTTGTCCATTTAGAGAGGCCGTTGAGGGCACGCAGCCAGTCATAATCCATCAGTACTGTGCCGCAATCTGTCTCCCAATGAGCTTTATAGGGGTGTGACGTGGTTGTTGAGAGTTCTTGCCATGCCTTGTAGCATAGTGTAAGTGTTTTGGGTTTTGTAGGTGCTGCCCAACACCTGTCTAGGATTAAGTAGGAGGTGATTCTGGTTGTATCTTGTGGTTTATACGGTGGTGGTGTGTGTGCCTGTATAGCACTTTTCAGTTGTAGATAGGAAAAGATTGCTCTGTTCGGGATCCGCCATTGTGTTTGTAGGACCGGGAATGGTAGTATGCCTTTGGTGTCTAAGAGCTGTGATATTTTTGATAGTCCCGCGTCGCTCCAATCTTTGAGGGGGATGTTGGGTACTATTGTTTTTAAGACTGAGATTGGGGATTTGTTGTGTAATGTGTCCTTATGGCCCATAGTCTCCATAAAGGTGTCCCATAGGGATATTGTGAGTTGTGTGGTTGGGACTAAGTCAGTGCGTTTGGTTCTAAACTTCCTCGGTGACCATAGGTAGTCAGAGATATATCTTTAAATTGTGTTCTTTCCATGTCTACCCACTGTAGCGTGCCTGGTTGGGCATGAAGGAGTATGCCCGTGGAAAGTATCGCTGCTCTAT